TACGGTACGTACGTAGAGTACGTAGTAGTAGGTAGTAGTAGTAGTATATATATATATATATATATATATATATATATATATATATATATATGTGTGTGTGTGTGTGTGTGTGTGTGTCCATAGTACAACAATGTAATATGGTTCCTCCCCTCCTATACCTGGCATGGGGCCCGTAGAGACTGATGGTAAAGGAGATGAGCACGGATTCTTGTCATAAATGTGCTTTTCTCACAGTTCATTTTGACCAGTTGATTCTGATAGTAGAGGAGGTAAGTACACAAAGTACAGTCTGAATAACCCCCAACCTCACTAAACATACTAGCTGTCCAACATCTTTATGAAGTATTTAGATGGCCATTTACTGATTCTACCCATCCAAGCAACCCAACTGGCTTATGTGCCAGTTTCTATCCTGTAAGGCCTGGCATGGCCTGGTGGTTAGGGCACTCGACATGCAATCTGAGAGGTGCAGGTTTAAATCCCTGTCACACTGAATATGCTCACCTTTCAACCATGGGGGCATAATAATGTGATGGTAAATCCCACTATTTGTTGGTAAAAGATTTGGCAGTGAGTGTTGTTGACTAGCTGCCTTCCCTCTAGTCTATCATTGCTAAATTAGGGACAGCTATTGCAGAGAGCTCTCATGCAGCTTTGCATGAAATTCGTAACAAACCAATATTTCCTGCTAAAGTGAAGAGTATACTCTGGATAAAACAAGATGCACTCTCTCAATGGAGCCCATTCTATCAGATGTCACACCCTATGGGCTTCCTTCAGATGCTTTATGAAGAGGGCTCATCTTGGTAGATTTTGCACCAGTTCCCTTACCATTTCAACATGGAATTCTACTTAAACTGTGTGAGGAGATGAGTTTTCTTTACATGAAAATGTATTTCTGGTAGATATTCACCTACCCATCCTCCTCCTTATTTACCTCCTCAAAGAATGAAGATTTATGAGTGCAAATACATAGGGAAGAGTTAGTGTGCATAGAGGTGTATCACCTTCCTATTGATGTAGAGCTTTTGTTGCATGATGACATCATCGCATAGGGATGCATATTCACATGAAATTAGGTGGGAGTTTTCACAAGGCTAGTTACATGCAAATCTCTTTCACAGGATGTGCGAGGAAGATAGCTAAATTGTGTGTAGAGGTATCTATCAGAAGTATATTTTCAACTAAGAAAAATATCAGTCCAGGTCTTTATTAAGCAGAAACTTTGCGTTTAATCAGGTGCTTGATGTGCATACAGTCTCATAAGTTTAGTTTCATTTAATCATATCTTTTAACATGCCCATATGAAACTAAAGATTAAAGTAGTTTTTTCTTTTCTCATTTTGTTTTGCTAGGTACTGTCTCAAACATTGTTACAATTAATTTAGACTTACAACTGTTATATGTTCTTACAACCCAGCTTACAGCTACAGAAACCGAAAAAAATATCAATGGCGTTTATAGTAGTGATGAAGCTTCAATTAAAATAACCATGCAAGATGAGAATGACAATTTTCCTGAGTTTGAGGATATAGAAGAAGCTTCTATCAGTGAAAATGCTTCAGCTGGAGACATTGTTACACAGATCAGGGTAAGCTCTAATTTGAACGTTTTTTTTTGCTTATTTTACTTAACATTTGTGTAAATAAACCCATAGAATTAATAAATGGCACACTATAGTTTAAAGTTATGATCTTTAAAACTTGTTGTTAGACAGGTTATATAATCTTGCTAACAGTAAACTTTGTAATATCATTAAAAAGCAGAACAAAATTATCAATTAACTCTAAGTTTGTTATATATATATAGAATATGCAGGAAACCATTAAATTTCAGCCATATTGATTCCACAAAAAACTGTTGTGATTTTTTCACCATTATTCATCTGTAACAAGTGAATATAGAGTAACTGTGTTTATTTTTTCTGTCATTTCTGGACTTAACATAGGAGTAAGATGCCATGATATTCTTGTAAAACTTAATTTTAGAGAATAATCTAACTTAACATTGGAGTAAGATGCCATGATATTTTTGTAAAACTTAATTTTGGAAAATAATCTTGGACCAGTAAAGATTATCTTAGTCACTCTTTGATGCAGTTGTCAGTACTTTCCTGGTGTGAGGCTACACTTTTTTGCACTTGTCATAAGTAGGTGGCAAGATCACCTATTTCCATGAATATCTCATTATTGCTTTTGGCTGAGCTTTAGGGAATTTTTACTTAGATGAAAGTTTCCTAACTTTCAACCTCACTTTGTTGTTGTCACAGAGTTGAGAAGTTTTTTCTGAAAAGGTGTGCATAAACTCTCTTTGCTTGACCAGCCAGAGAGCATTTTATAAGTTTGTTGTTTTATTTTCATTTAGTTGCTTGGAATTCTCCTTTTTTTTCATGAATTTCAGAGCAATAGTTTAATGATTATTTCTTTTCAATTTTTTTTTTCTCAATTATATTGGTTTTACTACCACATTTTAGTCTGTCATGCATTTAATTTGTTTTTGCAATGTGATGAGACAGAAGGTGCAGATATATGTGGTAAATAAAAATAATTTTGTGTTCATCTGACTTGTGTGTCTCATCTTTTATTCTTATACAATATTCCATCTATCTATTCCATCCAACTTCTTATGCTGGGGTAACTGAAATATCAACTATTCTCTAACTCAGAAAATCACAAGACCATAATTATGAAGAAATTACAAAACAAGCCCTTAGTAACTTGGTACTTCTAAGACAAAGTTTAATTTACATAGTTATACACCTGATAAATTGCAGGAGATTAAATACCAGTAAAAATATACATGAATGCTGAGAAAACAACTGTAGATATGTATTTCATATGTTCTAGGGGTTATGCAAAAGAAATATGCTAATATGATGGATAAGAGTATTTTCATTTTTCATATGAACATCACCTGGGATTCCAACTTGTCAGTCTGAGTCAGGTTGATATGGGCAATTGACAGATATTTCTTGAATACAAATATGTTTATAACACATCTTTTTTTTTTGTATATTGACTGAATGTGTACACATTAGGTCGTCAAGAAATTAATTTCGTTTTTTTAGATGAAAAAGCCTGAACAACTTATATGTATATCAAAACAAAACATTTATTAAATGAAATAGTCTCCATTCTTATTGATGATGCTTTTCCAATTTACAATCAGGTTGTTAATGCTCTGATTAAATAAATCACTTGGCTTTGAAGCAAAAACATGTTGATGTCCTCTTTAACACTTTCCACATTTGCATACATTTTCCCATTAAGATGGAGTTGCATCAAATGAAAAAGATAGTAATCTGATGGTGCCACATCTGGATAATATGGTGGGTGGAGGAAAACTTCCCAACTAAACCCCATAACTTTGTGTTGCATCAAATGTACCACATGTGGTGCATGTGCATTGTCATAAAGAAGAACATCTTTCCAATTGATGAGTGAAGGGCATTCTGATGAAGGGCTTGATTTAAACATTCCAGTTGCTGACTATAGATCTCTACATTGATAGTTCTCTGTGGATTGAGGAGTTTGAAATGAATTACTTCTTTGATGTCCCACCAAATCCAAAGGATCACTTTCTGTAGATGGAGTTCAGATTTTGGGGTTGGAAGTGGTTTTTGTCTAGGACTGAGCCATTGTTTTTGGCATTTAATATTTGCATAGAGAATCCATTTTTCATCACTGGTGACAGTTATGTCCAGAAACAGTTCATGCGCATTATGCACCAGAAGAGATGAAGCAAAGTTCACATGTTGTTCATGAGGCACCCAAAATACCTTCTTTATGGAGTTTTCCCATATTCCTTAGATGTCTATGTATTGTTTCATGAGAGACATGCAATTTCAGGGCCATTTCAAGGGTGTGTTGCCTTGTGTTAGACTCAACAAGCATCTTCTGAGAATCAATATCAATTCCAACATGTTGGCCCTTACCATCACAGTTTTTAAGGCTAAAGTCACCTGAAAAAAATTTGCTGAACCATCGTTGACACTTACAAATGTTCACAACATTTGTATAAACTTTGATATTCTTTGTAGCTACAGAGATGTTGTTTCTTTTTTTGTATTCAAACAGCATTACATGCCAAATGTGTCTCATCATGTGCCATCACTATAAAGGATTAGAGTATACT